CAGAATCAATTAACCTCGTTTTCTCTCTTCCTACAGCATTTGAAGTTTTATTTTTTTAATCTTTCTTTGTTGTTCAGAACTCATAACTAGTACCATTGAAATAGCTGGTGTATGATTATAGCCGTGAATATTTCCTCTCGTATATCTTCGTCTATAATGGAAACCACTTGAGTTTTCCTTTCAGTCTCAGTATTTATGTATATGAAGAACTGCTGTGTTGGTTGGTCCATTTGTTAGTTTCAGTAGTAATACCTTTTTTTAATTTTATAAACTCATTTATCTCTTTTGTTACTTGTTACCTATGCCTTCTGAATATTTTTTCTTAAGAATTTTTAGTTTTCTCTCGCTCTCATTTGCAGTCATTGATCTACTTTTGGTCTCGCTCGCCTCGTCCACAAAATTACTTCATTATCATTTTATAGACTGGACGTCTATATTGATCTTTTTTATGTTCCTACTCATACGTTCCGTTACTTTTTCCAGGGTTTTTTATTATTATTATTTCGTGACCATGCTTTCGCGGTGAATAAGGGCATTCTTTGTTTATGTCATCTCCGGTTCTTGTATATATGTGCATGTATGTAGTGTATATTCGTATGGGTGTTTTTGTATATATGTACGTAGCCTGCATGGAAATGATGAAGTAAACTGTCACAGATCTTTCTTATAATTCATATTTGATCTTTTACAGAGAGTGTAGATAACGACGTTGCACTCCTGCAAGTGGAGCCTATAACCTTCAGCGCCAGAGTCGGGCCGGTATGCTTGCCTGAGCCGAGTTCGAGTTACGAAGGTCGCTTGGCCACGGTCACAGGATGGGGCGCGCTCAGTTCAGGTACCGTACCTTAAAAAAAATGAATGTATATATGTATGCATACAAGCACGTACAAACACACACACACACACACACACACACACACACACACACACACACACACACACACACACACACACACACACACACACATACACACACATATACACACGCGCGAGCAAACAAACTAACATATCAGTGTGCATAAACACATGTAGTACATAACACACTTTCTCCCAATACCAGGCGGAGTAACATCCAATGTGTTGATGGAGGTGCAGGTCCCGACGCTGACGGAGCGAAAATGCAAAGAGTCTTATAACGGTTACGTGACCCAAAATATGTTCTGCGCCGGTTTACCTGAAGGAGGCAAGGACTCGTGTCAGGTAATGCTTCTCCTATAGCCTTGTTTTTTTTTCCTCTTCTCATTTTCCCTAAGTATCCTATATTTTCTAAATGCTCACAGAATTTCGTTTATATTCTTAACTTCTTTATTCCTAACATTTCCTCTTCTATGACCATTATAAACGCATCAAAGTGTTCCGCGAACATTATCCAAATTTCTCCTTATACATTTTTCTTACAAATTTTACTTCCATGGTAAACAGGACAGTGTTTAGTCAATTATTTACATGCTGACATACCGACCCAGTGAACTCCTAGATAGACAAATGAGCGAAAGCGCGCCTGCATGTTATCTGGGAGGAGGAAGGGGGTATGGGGAATACCTGATGGGTGGCAAATGTTTCATGTTATCATTATCACAAAATCATCTCTCCCATCCCACTTTTTTTCTCTCTGAGCCCCCTCTCCCTTCTCCCTTCCCCCACATCCCATCTCCCTTTCTCCCTCCCACCCCTTTTTCTCCCCCTTCCCCTCCTATCTAAATTCTTAACCCCCATTGGTTAATCATGTAAATAATAAATGTGCATAAATTGATGGTCGAACAACTTCAATGCAGTGTACTTGCCTCGAAGAAGAATGATGATAATTTCATAGATGATGGTGATGATGATGATAATGATAGTGATAATGATAAGGGTGATGGTAATAGTGATGATGACAATTATAATAGTATAATAACCAAAATTAATATGATAATAATAAGGCGAGAAGAGGATTCTCATAGATTATTATGATGTATTATGATGTGTGTCATTCTTTAACGTTTATGTTGTCAGTTACATTTTACTCCACACATCAAATTGATACCAACTCCGCTGCAACATGGAAATTGATGTAAGATGGGCATAAGATGCCCTTCCCACACTAAAATAAGGAAATTAAGTCCCGAATCAGTTGAAACATGATTTCAGGAGAAAAATGGAAGTCTGCTAGTCGCGAAACCGGAGAACACTCAGAATGCAATCAATATCATTACGGCTGTTAGTTGCCTATAAAACTCCATGGCCTCTAACCGTCACCACCAGGTACATCCTCTACTTTGGTTTGCTTTCCCCCATTCTTACCCATCATAGGATACAGTGCATATTGTGCCATCTGTGGACTACGTGCTGAAACAAGCTAGGCTGCGAGTGTAGTCGGACTTATATACGTGAATTTATATACTACAATTGGATTCGAGATTTTCTGAAGCCTTTTCTCTTCCATACCTTACATTTAAAGCACCACCATTATGGCAACATATGGATGCGGTGACAGGCTAAATTTCGGATTAAATTGTCTGTGACTACTTTAATAACCATGGCAACATCTTTAGTTCTCATAAATTACTTTTGTTGCAAATATAGATACATTCAAACACCATAAGATAAAGGTAAACACATCAACGCTAAAATCTGTATCTAGCGTCATATTCAGACCATTTCCTATAACGATGGTAACATTGCCTTGTAAGTGTTGAATCGAGGATGGTCTCGAGGTCATTGTAACCAGTGATCGATGTAAGTATTTGGAAATCAACAGCTGTCCATTCGCAGAACCACACGACATTTTTCCTTCTCCTTCCTAATAATTTTACTTTTTTACTTTTTACTTGACAGTAGATTAACCGACGTAACCCTTTGCATGCATTTTGATCACTTGATCAAATTGTAAACTTCATGTAACTATGTGAGGGTGTAACTCTTAGTTACAGCCTCACATATTTACAAGTTACATATGTCTGCAGTAGGTGCGCGCGTGAGAGAGAGAGAGAGAGAGAGCGAAGGAGATAACATGAGCGTATTTGTGTCATTTGCTTGCACCCACCATCACTCCCATAAGAAAAATAGTACCCGAATGGCTGCTATACGTATTTACGCTCTCTTGCTCCTCCTCTTCTCCTTTAACTGACCCCCACCCCCCCTCCCTCCTTCCCCCAGGGTGACTCCGGCGGCCCAATGGTCACGCCCCGAGACAGCGACCCGCAGCGGTACGAGCAGATTGGCATCGTGTCCTGGGGCATCGGGTGCGCCGAGCCTGGGAACCCGGGAGTTTACACGAACGTTGCAAGTGAGTCGGCTCTCTTTAGCTTTAGGATAAGTGAACTTTAATGTTAATGTTAGTATTCTCTTTGACTGATTTGCTAATATGGTTTGGGTTCACAGAAGTATCTTGTTTATCTTTTTTGTAATTTCATGTATATATGAATATATATATATATATATATATATATATATATATATATATATATATATATATATATATATATATATATATACTTAGTATTTTCATATATTTACATACACTTATTATTTTGGTATATTTATATACAGTTAGTATTTTCAAGATACATACAACTACATATTTACGTATCATATTATCTTCAAATATTTAACCTATTTCTAGCATGTCATGAAAAAATATTATAAGTCATTAAAACATTATTCCTATACAATACCTTTTAGTACTACACCCATACTAACAGGGACATATTTGCAGATTACATTCACTGGATTCAGGCAATGATGCAGTTGCAGTGATGTCAGTACAGCCAGCTTTGACCGACAAACTTTCCGGCTTGCAACGAACACTGATAACTTATCCCAATCTCCCTGTCAGTCTGTCTGCTTGTATCTGGAAACTGATGTGTATGAATTCGGCAAAATTAAATATACAGCAGACTTCCAAATTTATATATTTTTTATCCTTTATATCAAATTCCCAAACTCATTTACTACGGCTTAAAGGATATATAATTGGTACACGGTATGTGAGCAAATACCTATGAGTAGATCAACAAAACAACAAGCAAACAATATCGTGTTTATATATCTTATCTCAGTACAGGGCACTACTCTTACGAACTGATCAGTAAAGTCAACTGAATATCTATTTTTCTCTTTGCAAGATCGTATTGGTTGAAGTTTTACTGAGAATATAGAGGACTATCTTCACGACAAAAGGTTTATTAAATCATTCAAGACAACAACTGTAACCGGTCAAGCAAATTCCGCGGACCGCATGCTTTAGATTAATATAAAAGGAAATAGTTATTCTAAAGAATTGATAGTAAAAGGAATAGTCGTGTCTGTATGTGTGTGCGTGCGTATGTTTGGCGTCTCTATAAGCGCGAACATACACTGCAAATTGCTTTGCAACATACCATATCATGCGACTAAAGCGAATTGCTGGAGTAGTTACTGCATATTGAAACGAGAGAACGTGCCATTTTCCGTCCTGAAATGATTATGGTCACAAGTACTTACGGAATGTCATCAGGCCGTTGATAGTGGCATAAAGTAATAGACAAATTGCTCATCTCTACAACACGTCTGCCATGAAAGTTTATATCTTTGATACTTTTTGAGTTACAATGAGTTATGTGAAAGCTGTGGAATTAAGGTAAAATTGGCGAAATCCCAATTAGAACGGACTCGTAAAGGTTTTAACGATCACATATTAAGACAAACAAGGTTACATGGCTTATAATAAGTATTCAGCTTGTTAAATTACTCGAGTCTTACGTCATTTTTCATGAGGTAAGTCTTCATAATGACCTGCCAACAATACGATATGCTGAACCTATCTTTTGATGATGCCAGCGACAGGGGCGTCATTTCAGCTTTTTCTTGGCGTCCCTGCCAGTCAAGCATCACATTTCTCTTCGTCTTATAAAAGCATCCTCTGTGATCATTGAACCTTTCTTGCAGTAAATGTGTCAATTATTACTTAGAAGACATTAATGATCCCAATTACATGTGATGAAACCGTGGTAAGTGAATAATATACTGATTATTCGGTT